CCGAAGCCCGGGGACTGACCGACGGGCCGATCGCCTGGCGCACGGACGCGGGCGCTCGCTTTGTGCTCGGGGCCGACTTCGGCGAGGCTTGTAGTGCGCGGCTTCCCCGCCCGCTCGCGGTCACCCCGGCTCCGGCGGCCTCGGCGCGCGAGGGGCTGAGGTGCGGGAGCCGCTCTCCACCGGTCGGTCCCCACGCAGCTGAGCCCGGGCCGCCGGCGCCGCGGCCCCGAGCCCCCGCTCTCCTCCGGGCTGCTCCGAGCAACGGTGCTTCGGGGCTTCAAACTCGGGCTGCCGGGGCAAGTGCCTTCATGAACCCAGAGGATGTCCGGGAAGCACTACAAGGGTCCTGAAGTCAGTTGTTGCATCAAATACTTCATATTTGGCTTCAATGTCATATTTTGGGTAAGTTGGAGCGCTCCTGAGATTGCAACTATTGTGGCCGATCGATTCGCGATTTCCCTCCGGTTGCTTGCTGCCTTTACTTTTCGCAGCCCCTCGGGCGCTGGCAGGCGCGGGGTAGAGGCATTTGCCTTCCGCCTTTCCAGGTTGCACGTTGGAGAGATAAACATTTAATCCTTTCTAGGAATGGGAAGAGATAAAAAGGAAAACCGAGCCGCAAAGGGGGCACCCAGGCCTTGGGGTGGCTCTATAAGGGACGAATAGCAGGGACGCAGATAAAAGAAAGGGCTCGGCAGTTTGAGAAATGAGCAACCGCACGAATGAGATTTGCTCCCGGTGGGATATGGATGTTGGGCAGAGCGTGGTGTCATAATAGGGAAGGCTAATCGGGCAGAGCCGACCCTGAGGGCCACCTTCTAACAAGGATCTGATTGGATGAGGGCTTGGCTCCGTGTTGCCGCGGCTGGTCTGTGCCACGCTCAGCGCGTATCTTCTTGCACCATCTCGGGCTTTGTGTGGGATGCAGATGCCGCGGTATATGGTTCTGTAATGTGCATGTAAATAACGCTTCCAGCATGCTCTCCCCCTAGAGCTGGAAAGCGCTCCTTTTGCATAATGGACTGGCCAGCGGGCGCGTGGGGTGGAAGGATTTATTTCTGTACATATCATTGGCAGGATAATAACAAGTCACCATCAACATATGTTTCAATGGGTTCGTGCTTCACGTCCTCTTTTTTAAAGGAGTGACACAGAGTGGGCCGTTTTGGGGAAACCCTGGACAAGTGTAAAGGAGAAGGTGCACGAGGCATGTTTTATTGGGGAATCTAGAGAGCAAATGTTGAACACAAGATTCAGACCGCGCTCTGCTTGGTCATACAGTGTCTTGGGCAGCTATTGTAATTAGGCTGGGACGCCTACTCTTTTGTTTTGATTCTTTTCTGTGATCTAGAAAATGTGTTCAGTAACCAGACAAAGAGTTCTCCAGGACAAGGGAAGACGCTGGTTGGAAGACCATGTTGTTTTTCCTGCCTTTCTCATCCATCCTCTTCCTCACTGCTCACCCCCATCCCCATGGAAAGTAAAGATGGTGGCTGTCTGGGGGGGTCTCCCAAGTTGCTGTTCCATGTGAAGTAAACAGGGATCCAACCGCTGGTTGAAGATAATCCTCAGTGATCAGGACCCAGGGTGTATTATTTTGGATTCTCCTTTAATTTGGTCTATTTGCTTTAAATAGATTCATCTGTGAGAGTAGCTATCAGTACAGCCTTTTCTGTTCTTTTTTAAAGAAATGTCCACTTGCTGGGTGACTTTATTTTCCTTTTTCTTTAAGTGTCTTGCATTGGTCATGTGTATTTTGTGAAAGGAGATGGAAAAGATTGGGGACCACTTTCTGTGTCAGCATGTTGCAGGACTGATAAAAATAATGAGGGGGCAGGTGAGTAGGGATCATATCTAGTCACTCACAGGCAGGTTTTTTGCCAGCGTTATGCGTGTTTTCTTGTGAGCAGTCCTCCCCTGCCCCCCAGCAGTCCAACGTGCTACAAATGTAGGAAGAAGAAACTATTTTCTTTCTTTCCTCTCACCCCCCACCTGCTATTTGAAATGTCTAAAAGTGTCTATTCAGTAGTCACATTTCTGAATGAGATACTATGGTTTTATTGGATCTTGAAACTTGTGACTTTGAGAGGCAGGAACTACTGAATTGGGACTGGCCCTTGTTGAGGCGGTGAATCTAGGCCTCTTGAATCTACTTGAAGACTTCCAAAAGTTGCACATTTCAGCTACCAGGCAACAAAGAGCATCCAGGGGCTTTCTCTGCAGTTTCATAGCAGAGGGTAGAAAGGAAATACAAAGATTTGGGCCTGTTTCCCTGACAGTTTGATGTAATAATGTGGAGTGCACAGAGGCGAATTTAGCCTTATTTGTTAGGTTGCAGCAAAATCCCTGGAATTGTGGAGCGCTTCAAGGAATAGCAGAATGTTTGCATCGAGAGTTATAGAATAGAGCTGCGTCTTGTCTGATTTTGAAGGCCTTTGTTGGGGTAGGGAGGAGAGGGTATGCGAATCCTGCCAGGAGACCTAGGCTGTGGAACTAAACCAGCTGTCCAGGCAGACTTGATAAGTAGGTGCCTTTTTTATGAGGGCCCTTCATTTACCCTGTTTCCCACACCCCCCTCCTTATCCTTCCTATGTTCAAAGCCTTTTCCCCAGATACCCTTCATACTTTTCCTATACTTCTCTGCTCCAAAATTACCCCATATTTAAATTTTCCAGTTTATTTGTATTTATTAGCACCATGGTCTCTAGTGAGGATCATCAGGAAGGCAAGTATGTTACTTGACTACAGTAATTCAGTAAGATGTTAGTGACTGAAGAACTGAAGTCAGTAACTTGGCAAGTTATTATTCCATTTGAGGTTCTACAAAGTTGCACACCTCTGCTCTCTACAGAGTCACCATCCTTCCTGATTGCCAAAAATAGCAGATTTGGTGCTACTGCTATTGCTATACAAGAAGAAGACATTGGTAACAGAGAGCATGGCTTCCTAATCTTTCATTTTCATACTGAAGCACTGGAATAATTTGAAATATGGTGACAACATTTAGAGATACAGTTTTGGTACAATAAAATTGAACATTTTGAAACACCGGTGCTGACAGTTTGGTGCATTTATAGTAATCAGCAGTTAGTTTGTCATTTAGTTGCCTGGGCCTCAGTTTCTCAGCATTGAAATGAAAGAGTTGGATAAGTTGTGAGGTTCTTTCTAATTTACACACAGGATGAGTCTATTGAGTTATAATATGCTGGGGAAGAAAAATAGAAGATAGTCACTAGTATATAATTGAGAAGCATATACTAGGACACTTGTGAAATTAAGACATACTCTCTTACTGGGATTAGTGTAAAGACCAATTTTATTACTTTCATTTCTTCCTCATATATGTTTTTCATTAAACAAAAAATCATTCATTAATTTCCTCCTGGCTTGTTCAGTTATTGGTATAGTAAGCATGCTTCCCTGGCCCCACTGTGAATCTCAAATGTAGTCCTCTGAGTCACTAAATATATTTTTATTATTAGAGCTACAGTTCCATGTGTAAAATCTGAATCCTTTTATGTAACAATCATAATGATATTCTGAGTAACAAAGTCAACATCTTGTACAGATTCCTTTCTCATTAGTTATTGCAGGGTGGTGGGGAAAAACTTGTTTTCTCTATTATACATTGGAACAACTCAAGACAGAAGGGAATTGATTTTATTGAGGGTGTCACCATACTGGGACATTTCTCAAAAACTCTGAGACTGATTTTGGGTAGGAGGACGGAGAACAAAGGGAGTTTTATTTTAAAGTCATTCCTTTTGGGTACTGCCCCCCTATATTTTATCACCCACAATTCATAGATATTTTGCTCTGGACCTTTTTGGATTCTGGGTGTCATACTTAACTGTTTTCAGGCAAGAAAACTGATCTCCATATTTTGGAGATCAACATAACAAACTCTAAAACTTAGTTGTATAAAACAGAACTTATTATTATAGCTCATAGTTCTATGATTTGGCCAGGCTTAACTGGGCGGTTCTCGCTGGGGGTCTCTCATGCAGTTGCAGTGAGAGGGGGCTAGAACAGGAGTTTTCTAAAGGCTCTTTAGGATGGGATGACTGGCAGTTGGTGCTCCCAGAGAGATCAGCCAGAGTTGTCACCTAGAGCACTTATACATGCCATTTTCCTGTCTCTAAGACTGGAAGAAATTTCTAGCCAGTTAAGGCTGTACGTGGAAGTGGCAGTGTCACTTTTATCTATTCCCTTGGTTAAAGCACTCATGAAGTCCGCTTAGTGTCAAGGGGTGAAGAAATAGATTCTACCTTTTGATGGAGTTCACACTACACAGAGTCATGTGGGATGTGGCCATCTTTGGAAAATATAGTCTGCTGTATTAAGGTACTGAGCCTTAATTTCTTGCTTATAAAGGAAAGATAACATTATCTCATGGAGTTGTAGTTTCAAGGATTCAGTGAGCTAATGTATTTCCCAGCACACTGTCTCAATATTAACAAATGGTGAATGTTATTACTGTTACTGTCTCCAGATTTCTCATACTAGTTCCATCTGGAACTTCTAGAATGTCTTGGTCCGGTACTCTGGCATCATTAATACTAGGTAATGATAAGATATGCCAAGAAGATGAGGCAAATGGATTCCATAGATTCTGTCATGAGTTATTAGGAAAATAAACCCCCAAACTCACGGATCAATGGAAGCCTTGAACGATTTGGGAGAACCAAGTCATTTTTCTGTTCTGTTTGCTGTATAAGGATTAGAACAGTCTTGAATACTTGAGGCCAAATTTCTCTTTTGCTGTGCGTTCAGATATTACACGTCTTTTTAAGTGGAGGTTTACCTAGGGTTGATGGAAGAATCTTGCATCTAATTTGCTTCCATAGGGCTTAAATTCGGAGAGGAGGGAGATTTAGGGAACCTTGGGGGGAGGCATCAAATAGGAAGCCTTATCTTATGATTCACTATAAATTGCAAGATGTTCTGGAATGATGATACATCAGCAGTGTATAAGTCATAATTTTTGTTTTAATTTGCTAGACATCTGTTAGCTTCGATGGCAACCATATGGGAGTCTAAATTGCCTTTTGAATTATAGGGAGATGGTAGGAAGAAACCTAAAAATGGTTATGAAAGTGTCATATGGGAAAAGTATAAAAGGTATATAGACTTTAGTGGGGGAAGTCATTGGATACTGACTTGCTTGGTCTGGCTACTCCCTGGGTCAGGGAGTGAGAAGGCCCAGAAACATTCCCTCTTGATGATATCCTCGGAAAACTGAAAGGAAGCCAAGGGGAGAAGTTGGAAAACCAACTAATGTTTCACCCACCATAAAATTGCCAAGGTGAGCTCATTTAGATGGATCACTCTGTCTCCATGTCCATAGTGATAGGCAGTCTCTGCCAAAAGGTAAAAGAAATCCACATTTTTAACAGAGCTTTACA